CGGGTATGGTTAATACCCGGGTGTATCCATGACAGTCCCTACACTGCGTACATGGCTTACATCGTGTAATATCGAATTGGATCGAACTCAAATCTATTTGTATAGAATTCTGTCGATAAAACGACACCTTACATTGCTTCAATTCTAGGCAATCAGATCTACCTCGGAATAACCCGAGTCATTTTTGACTGGGGATCAGGAAATGTTTGTGCGTCATCGCTTCTTGAGTTCCAAGCGTTGCCTAAAGAAAAATGTGTAACTTTACCAAATCAAGTCCAATTCAGATGAAATAAAATGCAGAAAAAATGGAAAATTTCAGGGATCATACCTGTATACAATTCATTGAGATATATTATGTAATAAGGTCAAAGTCCAAATAAAAATACTTTTTCAAAGAAGAATCTGAAGCTCACCAACATAAAATCTAAAATAAATGAAATAAAATATGAAGAAAAATACAGTTTGTTTTTATGTATATTATGTAATAAAAGCTATGTGCACAAATAGATATATGTTTGCACAAAATCAAGCTAATGCAAGCTTTTTCAAATGAAGAAGTAGCAATAAATTGGCACAAAAATTAGATGAAAATGGCTGATGGTGCTCACTGTTGGTGACAACATTTGAAAACACTCTCAGGGTCTCTGGTAAATTTCCATATATGGTACTCAGCATTTGTCCAACTGAAAAATAGCAATTAAATGGCAGAAAAAATGGAAAACAATTGAAGAATGGTGCTAACTGTTGATGTTGATGTTAGGACTGTTTCAAGGGTCCCAGGTGCATTTCCTTATATGGAAATTTATTCAACAATTGCCAGAAAATAACATGAAAATCAGAGAAAGTTGGAATATGGTGCTCATTGTTAGCAATGATGTTATGAGTCCTCTGAGTTTATAAAGACACTAGTTTGTTACTCTCTGATCTCAAGGATTTTTTCAGTACTTCTAACACTGAATCTTGCCTTTCTTCCCATAAGATTTGATGGTTTGATGATGTTGTCAAACATTTTTTGAAAGGAAAAATAGCAATAAAAACAGAAGACAAATCAGGAACAAATGGGGGACAATATGTATTGTTGATGACAATGTTGGGGACCATTTTCAGAGTACATGGCATATTTTCAACTGAGGTAATGTGCACTTTTTGAATCAAAAAATGGCAATATAATAGTAGAAAAATCAGAAAGAAATTGAAGGAAGATGCTCACTGTTTGTGCAATACTGGGGAGCATGTTCAGGGTCCAGAAGAAAATTCCATACATAATAATAGCTATAAAGGACTGGAAAAATTTAGTGAAAAATGGAGCATAGTACTTATTGTCGCTTTCAATGTAGGGACTCTCTGTAAGGTCCAGTATTTTATATACATGGAAAAAATAGCAATAATATATATATATAATGGGTATAGATCTGATGGGCTTTCAGGAGGTGGTCACATGACCAGTTTCCTAAATAATCAAAAATGTGAATGCTGTGGTGCTGCATTGTGGCTTCCTGAATATAAAAAGGACTCATATCTGCCATGCTTGCAATGGCCCTCTTACACAAGTTCCACAGATCCAGTCCATTTCATTATGAGTCAGCTTATCATTGAGAAGCGGCAGATATCCTTTCCTATCATCAACAACAAGAAGGCTTCCTCCTCCAACAGGTCCTTCCAACAACTCATCTATGCTCACACTTCCAATTGTCAATCACCACAAAAAACCACCACGAAGGATAGCTGCCCATACACGGGGACGTCGAAGAATTCATGATCGACATTGCAGATATGCCTCATAATCCAATTTGGTAAAGTGGTATCCGGCAGGACGCTGTGGAAGAAATAACTCAACATCGGGGTACAATATTGAGTGCGGCATAAGCAGCTCAGTCAGCAAAGTGCAGAATGGAATCCCATGTAATGCCAAGAAACGTGCAATATCTACATCCAGAAATTGAGCATCAAGACGGCAAACCAGCAACGCATCAGAGGCTGTTGTTACAGCTAGCCTCCAGCAAACTGTGACTTTATCGAATAAAAATACGTAGAGCCATTTCGCTGGTACATCGGCGTCAGAATTTCTGTACAAGGCAATAGAATCCAGGCGTTCACGAAAAGAAGAAGATTTTGGAAGTTCAAGATCGGAAATGATTTGCTGCCCTTCAAGAATTTGACGTGTAAATTCAACAAAAAAACGGCCTTGTGCAGTTGGCCAGAAATGAGAAACAACAGATTCAAGCTTTTTCTCTTCACAAACTCCAATCCACCGCAGCCAGAATTTCTTCTCTTTGTCTGAAACCTCCTTATGATTGGCTTGGTTAAGATCTGGCAGAACCATGCCATAGTGAAGGGTCAAGATCTCCTATACTTCTGAAATTAAGCCGGCGATTGTTGACTGGGGGCCATCTTGAAAGATATCTGGGGGTACATCTGTTTGCTCATACAGATCATCAGGTAGAGGGGTTGGGCATCATTGTTCACGAGGGATGAAATCAATATCATATTCAGAAGCTTGTTGATCTGCAGAGGGGGCCATATCCATGTGCTCATCTTCCATTTCATCTGGAGATGGAGTACGGAACCTTCCAAATTCAAAACAACAATCCCATTTGTTCCAGTAGGAATCATATCGTTTCTGTTCAGGGCCATATTCCTCCAAAGTCTCGATACGTTCACTAGCAAGGACTTCTTCTCGACCAGGGAGTTCAGGGTCACGGTCCCATACAAAAACCTTTGCAGATTTTATGGGTGGATTTCGTTCTCGATTCAAGCGTCTTTCACGCTCCAATGCTGTCTCCAGACTTAAAAGACAGGGACGATTTTCATCACGTCTTTCAAAGAATTCTCTCCAAGTGATTGTTTTGACTGTGGTTGCAGGAGAGCCAAGAGGATTTGCAGATGACTCTGGTATTCCACCACTTTGCGGGGGACCAAATTGAGCAAATATTGGGTCATGCTTTGCCCACTCTATTTCGTCCACGTCCCATTGATACCAGATCGGAATGTTGTGAGCGATTAGTCAGCGAACAGAAGGTTGGTGAGTCTTTTCGATGTCATCTTTGGTAAGATAGATAAACGCTCCAACGCGCTGAACTTCATGTGAGAACGTGCCAAGGTCAGATGCCCGAATTAAATCAGC